TGTTAAAAAAAATAGCTTGAAATCATTTGAGATTTGTGAGATGATGCATTGTTCTGCTGGAACCATCATAAAATAGGTACACTGTTAGAAGGGATGGACATGGTCAGCAGCAATACTCAGGTAGCCTGTCATGTTTAAACAATGCTCAATCGGTATTAAGAGGTGCCGAAATGTACCAAGAAGATATGCACTGCAACACTACACCAGCACCACCAACAGCCTGCCCAGCTGATACAAGTCAGGATGTTTACAACAGCACCATTCAAATGTTTCAGCAGAAACTGAGACTGGCAAACATTTTCCAACCTTCTATTGTCCAATTTTGGTGAGCCTGTGTGAAGGGGTGGCATCGGTGTGGTCTTCTGCTGCAGATTTGCATTAAAGTTTGATGTGTTATGGGTTCAGAGATAATCTTCTCCTAAAAGCTGTCTGGGCATTCTCCTCTGACCTTTACAGCTCACTGGATATTTTTTAGACCTTTTTCTGTAAACCCTAAAAATACTTGTGTTGGAAAAATCCCAGTAGATCAACAGTTTCTGAAAAATTTAGACCAGCCCACATGGCACAAACAATCCTGCCTCATTCAAATTCACTTAAATCATCTTTCTTCCCAAGTCATCTTGACCATCTCTACATGCCTTTTTAAAAACGTTCAAATCACATGAGCCAATATTGTATATAAAGGTTTTAGAGCGACGTGTGCTCCCCTCCAGATGACATCTATTTCAGGGAAGGCCTTGTGTATTTCTGCAGGACAATGCAAAACCACATACTGCAGCGATTACAAAAGCATGGCTTAGTTGGAGAAGAGCCTGGGTGCTGAATTGTCCTGCCTGGAGTATAGATCTTTCACCTATAGAGAACATTTGGCACATCATTAAACGAAAAATGACCACAAACTCTTCAGTGGCTGGAAACCTATATCGGGTAAGAATGGGACCAAATTCCAACAACAAAACTCAAGAATCTCATAACCTTGAGGCCCAGACGTGCTTCAAACTGTTTTGAAAAGGAAAGGAGATGCTACATCAGGGTGAACACGTTGCTGTGCCAAATATTTGGAGACCTGTAGGAAACATCAAATTTGAAACAAACTCATTTATTTATGCTCTGATGTGAATACAATGTTGGCTCATGTGATCTGAAAGTCTTTTAGTTTTCATTTTGTTAAAATTTAAAGAACATCCCAACTTTCTGCAATTTGGGTTTTACATAAAAAACAAACAAACCTTTTCTTTGTGGAAAAAGTCCAATAACAGTCCAATAACTCATCTATATATGTTTAGCATAGCTGCAACTTTAAGCTGCATGTTTCATGTCTACCTTCAGGGATGCCAGCTGAAACATCTGCTAACTGATATTTGAAAAAGTGAAATTAAACATAATTCAAAGCAGCACAATTTTCTGGCTTTTCTGGGAACCGAGTTATATCATCACTATCTGGGCACAGCTCACTGTACAAAAGCCAAAAACTAGATCCAGTAATTTAAACAATGAATGTCAGCGATGTACTTATTGTGATAATATTTTATTGCCAACTATCTCCCCGTCGCTTGGCGCGGAATCGGACTTCTTCACAAAAAAAGAAAGGAAATAAAAAGAGACAAACACCAGTCAACAAGACCTGTACTGAAACTACTTTTTATTTTTTGTATACAGAATAAAAACATTCAACATTTTCAAAACAAGTATGTGTTTTATGGCAGCAACAATACTTTCAGGAAACATCTACAATCAAAGTATGGCACTGCGTAGCTCAGCGAACAGTCCACGCATTGCTTTATGTGTTTTGGTTTTATCGACACAGCAAAATAATTTATTCTCTTTAGCCACAACTGTGTTTTTATACTGTATATTGTGTATTTTTCAAAGGGATTCAGATGAATCCTGTCTTTCATCTCCTTGTGAGTTTGTAACTCTTATATAAAACGCTGTGCACAAAGTTTCTAAAATGCAATCATTTTTTCCTTATTATAGTGTACGTGTTAAACACTTTACTAAAATCAAATGAATCCACTAATATCTGATATAGTCATTACGATTATCACAGTGCATATAAGCCTTTAATTAAAATGTTACATGAGCAGTAATAAAAGCCGGACTCGTCACAGTTCTAACGGAGGAATTCTGCAGCATTTTCCAGATCACATTATGACGGCACATTTTCATCACCAGCATCGAGTGAGAAAACTGTGACCCTGCACAACAACCTGCTAGTCAGGCAGACAGTTTTCAAAGTGCAGTGTGACTGTTTGATATTAGAAATATCAAAAGGTTTTGTTATTTATTTAATTATTTTTTGGTAGCTGAAAGAAGAAGAAGGAAAAAAAGTCACGAGTAGATTTGTTGATATGGCACAGTGTTATGTTCACGCAACAAAAATCTTTAAAAGGAACAAGAAATCCAGTAACTTTAAAGACACTACTACAGCATCTAAAAGACATTTAAGTATATCACTTAGTCATAAACAGTTACACAGGGCAAAATACTGTCAACACACAAATTCTGTACTGTCTGAATCATGGTTTCAACCAAAAAAATCTGCCGTGGTTAAGGCTTTAGAGCTTTATAAATATTTATAAAGTTCTTACATGAAATGTCTTTAATTCAAACATTTCTACAATGACACATTTAAAAAACAACAACAATAAAACCATAAAGCAAGGTTGGTCTTACTTTACAAATTAAAATTTCCAAAATATACAGTGTTTTGTCCGATACTCATCCCCATCATATGCTGAGAGGAATGTAAGCAGTTCGTCACTTCTTACACTGTATGTATTTACAAACAAATGCCATACTCTGAAGATTCTCAGGTATGCTGGTTTTGTTAGATATCCCTCTATGCGCCATGGATGAGCAGAAAATATTATGATGTGACATTTTTTTGTAACATGAAATGCAAATGAGACATAGTAACACTGATTTATCATCCGGTATATTGTGCTTTCTCCTGCTTTAATAACTGCTTTACAGCATCTAAGATGAGACCCCCTGAGAGTGAAATATAACACCCCAAAAAAAATCATTAGTTTAAGGATTTCATCACATTGCTCCCCAAATGACTTCGGTGCGCTTGTACAAGTAATCATTCCATAAAATCTGAAGTCTAAAGCAAGACAAATGAGTTTAGCCATAATGAAAGGAAGTTAACTATGTATGGAGGACCAAGACTGCCAAATTAAGAAAAAAAAATCATAATTATGAAGCGCCTTGAGGCGACTTATGTTGTGATTTGGCGCTATATAAATAAAATTGAATTGAATTGAATTGAATTGAATTATGATTTAAATGCACTGTTGTGCCAAACATATTTGCTTTTCCAAATGAACCTCTATAAACTGTGTGTGAAGCTGGATTAAAAAAAATATGTGTTTTTATAACATGCTTAGTGCTATATTGCGCCAGTACAGAATATGACATTACTGGATTGGTTGCTGCTAATAGACTTACATTAGCTTATGTTAGCTAACTAGTGACACTCAGTAACTCAGCGGACAACAGTTACTAATAAAGTCTAATAAAGACAGT